CCAAATTTGCAAAATACATAATAAAAAGCTTGAAAATGAATATAAATCCAGCTATTTCTCAATATCCAAGCAAACTGAAATTTTTTTCCAGATTACTCAGGATAATTTTCTATTCAAATGATGGTAAACTACTTTTTAATGCAAGCCTAGATCCCGTGTTTTAAATTTAAAAAGACTACCACCATAAAACAACAAAATGAAAATCTGTAGAGGATCTCTGATCCTCTTTCCCAAAGCACCATATGGGACTCATTCTGGAATTTCCTTATCCACTTGGCTGGTCACTATAACTTAGAGCATCTTTACCCACAAGTAAGTAGTTGTTTTCATACAAAATTGTGGCTCTTTTTAATAGAGCCCATCTGCAATATCATCTTCTGAAATGAGACTCAACGATTTAATTGGACTGGCCTATTTCCACGGGAGACTGGTTTAATGGAATCTTTTGTGATTGAGCTATTTAACTTGACTTTTCTCTCCATAGCCACAAACTCAACTTTCAGTGTATAAAACTTCTAGGGAAGTTTCAGACAGGGGAATGTTGAGGTACAGAAAATGACCACCCAAAATATTGTGCTTAATTATGCTGAGTGTTTTGAAAACAGAAAGGCCTTAGAAATAAGCCTCAGAACCAAGGTCTCTCCTGATCCTCTTTCCCAAAGCATCCAATTTTACAAATTCTCTCTGGAATTTCCTTATTTGACTAAGAAAGCTTAAATTCAATTGTCTTGAGATGAGATTCTCCCTAGGAATCTCATCAAATAACCAGCAAAGATCACAGAGTTTTCATATATTTTTTCTGAGGGCACCTCCAAGAAGGAATCTGGTGGATTTTATCTGCATAACGGCAACTTTTGTTCCTCTGAGCTCTACCCCTCACTTTTCCATAATCTCTGTCTCCTGCTTCCTGGGTCCATTCATTCTCTCTAATGATTTACTATCCCCAAAAGAATTATCTACATTCCCTATCTCCGCTCTCACCTATGAAAAAGGGTATATGAGCTTCTGTACTGTACTGAGTAATTGGGTAATCACTCTGTGATTCCCCCCTCCCCACCCTCCATGCACATTAATAAATTTGCATGCTTTTTCTCCTATTAATTTGCCTTTGTCAGCTGATTTTTCAGTGGACCTTCAGTGGAAAAAGGAGAAGTCTTCCCTTTGCCCCTACAATACTCTTCCCATTCATAAATGATCTATTTAATTAACACAGGTTTTAAAGAATCAAAATAAAGAATTGTACACGTTTTTATAAGGCTTAAAAGGGGACAAGATCATTATCCTTAAAGAATTAGAGTTAATCTTTATTGTCAGTACAGAATTAAAAGGAAGCAAATTTCAATTCTATATAAGGAAGACTTTTAAAAAGAATTGGAGCTGTTCAATTAATGTAACAGGTTGTCTTTAACTTCTACACTCCACATTACCAAATGCTTTTAAACCAGGCTTAGATGATTCTCTATCTGGAATGGCATAAAAAGAGTCTGTATATTAAGTGAGAAGTTGTACCAGAGGACTATTATTAAGTTCAATTAATTCTTTAGAATCTTCTTAGCTATCCAAATCACACTCTTAATGTAAAAACACTTTAAAAAAGTATTTTTCAGTGTGAGGCATTTAACTATCTGTATCAGAGTCACCTGGTAGTGCTCTTTTAAAATGTATATTCCTGGGCCTTATAACTCCCACTCCCCAAAGAGTAAAGATCTTAAGATGTCCAGAAATCTGTATTTTTCACACACAACTTAAACACACTAAACTTTGTTTAGGTTATACCAGATAGATCACCAACTAATTAGCTTCAGATATGTCCCACAAAGATGCCAAGAAAGAGAGCAGAAGCAATTTTACAAAGTCATTTTGTTTTTATTGCTACCTGGAGTTTCCCATTGCCAGGTACAAGATGAGAGTCAAATGATGAGATCTAATCTTTAAGCCTCTGTCCCAAACTACTAACTATGTAAAGGAATATATGTCTATCTTTTTAAAGAAACTAAGTATGTATAGAGTTACATCATACAAATGACACATTTTAAAATGTCTTTTTTCACAAGTCAAAAAAAGCCTTGCTTACCAAACTCATGATTAAAAAGGAAGCACAGACATTTCTTAGATACTTCACAGATATTTATGAAGACCAAAAAGAACCTTTTCTAAAGAGAATTCAGAAAAGTCTGAATCTTCTGTTCTGGGATTCTGAGAGAGTGTCTGAGAGTTCGGGGAGACTACCTGAACTGACTAAAAGAAAACATGGTAAAGAAGAATTTTAGTAACCAAATTAAACCTAAGAAATTGTGTCAAACAGTGGTTCCTCATGTATAAGAATATGCATTTGGAAAAAAGAGTGAGGAATAACCAGTTTGTGTTTGTGGGTAAACAAGCACTCTCATCTATTGACAGTAAGAATACGAGCTGGAGGGTAATTGGCAATATTTTTCAAAATTACAAATGCACACATCTTTGACTTCCAAATCTACTTTCAGGAATTCATCTTAAGATATGTTTTTACGTGTGTGAAAAGCAAATATAAAAAGGTCATTCACTATAACATTTTGGTAGCTGCAAAAGATTAGAAACAATCTAAAATTCCATCAACGTGCACTGGTTAAAAAATTAGGATCTATTTATACAAAGAAATAGCATGCAGCCATGAGGAATGATGAAGAAATTTTTTAGGTACACACATGGAAAACTTTTTGGATACACTGTTAAATAAAAAAAATAAGATGCAGAAAAATATGAATTGTGTGTTCCTACTGGTATAAAAAAGAAAAAGAAAAGAGAATGTATGTATATACTTACTTCTATAGACATTAACTACCTCTGGAAAGAAAAACAAGAAACTATTAATAGCAATGTTTGCTTCCACAGAGGTAAAATGGGTGCCTGGAGCACTAAAATGGAAACTTTTCACTAAATACCATTTTGAATCTTTTAAATTGTGCATCAAGTAATGTAGTTCATATACAAATAAATAACTATGTCTCTTTTTGCAATACCTTGTATGCATATGGAACTGAAAAAAAAAACATAGTAAGAGAAATTTCTAAAGAAATAGATATGAAATATATAAAAAACCAAGAAAAAAATCCAGAATGAGCACCACTTAAAAACAAAAATATTATGTGAGGATCTAAAACTTGCACATGCATTCATTTCCAAAAATTAACAATTAACAGCCAAGTGACAGTAGTAAATTGTTTCACAAGGATAACTAAACTTTGAAACAAGGTCTTGTGAAAACTGCAGAAATGAGCCCCAAAATTGTTTTCTTAATAAGGTCTAGAAAGCCATTCAAATATAAATCTAGCATTCTTAAATATCTTCTACCAAAGAAAGAATTACTAATTGGTATTATTTGTGTTCTAGTTACTTTGTACTCATCTGACCAATCAAAAGGATCTATGTCATAACCAAATATGAAAAAAAAAAGTATAATAAAAGAGCCAAAATGGGTGTTTAACATTTTTCTTATTTCAGGGATAAGTCAATATAAGCTTTCAGATTTTAGAAGTTTAAGCAAGCATCTTCTCCCAAAATAAAGGGGGAGGGGGGAGATTAAATATTGTGCAAACAAAAGTTTCAGACAGAATATATCTAATTGGCTAATTTGAAATTTTAATTCTCGGCCTCCTGATAAGATGACAAAAGTCGTATCGTATTAAGTGTGATTAGAAGTTGCCATGAAACAAACAGCTCAACAAAACAGTGGATCTGTCCTTTGACCTTAAAGTTTCACGTAGGCAAAAGCTGACTTTACACTGATAAGTAAAATACAGAGACTTTTCTTGGTGAAAGAGGCTAGGAGGAACTAAAATTCTACTTACCAACAAGTATACTGCTGATATAAACTGGCTGTATAAAATGACTCAGCAATGCTCCCTGTACACCAAGCACTTCCCATCTTGTCAATTTGTCACTTGAGGACATACTGCTTACTCTATTAACAACATCTGCAGGACAGTAAACAGTCAGATAAATTTTTCCTTCAACAGCCACATGGAGACTCAGTTCTTCATTGGCTTCAAATGCAGATATAGAATGTGGATTAAGACGTCTAGAGAAAGTAAAGAAAGTTTCTTCTTAAAAAAAAGTTGACATAGTAAAATCCACATGTACATAAAAATATTTTCTAAAATGTTTAACTTGCAAGCACACGTTTAATTTTAGTAACAGAAACAGATGTGAGCTCAAAGCCAGGTAGGAATGGAGTGACTCTATTCCACAAGATTAATACAAAATAGGTCCCTTAAAAAAAAAATCAAAAGAAAAACTAATTTTCGTTTCCCTAATAGTGAGTTATTTCTTTCCTCTGTATGAAAATTTTTAAAAACTATAAAATGAGGG